GAAGAAATGTTTGTGCGAAACAAAACAGAAGTTAAAGAAACGCAATAATTAAATGACATTATCATAACCCACTATTGGACATGACTCCTTAACTTGAAATTTGAAGCTGTGTAATTCCATTTCAACAATTTCCAACGAAGCTAATTAAACGGTATTGTATAAAAACTACTTTTTAGTTAAATACTTAAACGATTTGAATGTAGCTATTGCATTTCATCAGCCTCTGACCAAAATACATCATTAGCGTACCAAATATTGAAATATAATTGCCATGAGAAAACGTAACTTATTTGCCCATCATAAAAGGACTTTAATTTTGACTCACTCAGCACAACTTCTCGATTAGTAACCTATCTGTTATTCCTTGTTCCTTCGTTTCCTTATTTCCCTATTATCTTTTTAATAATATTCGCTCATTAATTGCTAAAAGTTAAAAAATTGGATATTGTTGGCCATGACAAACTTAGTTGCCAGGCTCCCTTCAACGAATCTCTTGGTGTTTGCAGGTTTGGCTTAACAAAGTATGGAATGCTTGCCACTAATTTGGAAAATCATGTAAAATTACAGACTAATCGAATGCATATAGGTATTGTCTAAACGTTTTAATTTATTTATAATTCGCAAAGCCCAAGTGCCTGCAGATGATTTATAGGCATTAGAAAACGTGAGAAGTAAACACACCATTTGCCATATATCTGTGAAATTCCAATAAACACGCCCACCGCTCTCTCGGAACAACCGCTCGAATAAATAGAACATTTCATGAAGACAATTTATGCTTGTCAAGTTAGCAGTAATTATCCTTGCTTCTGGGTGTGCGATAGACTTACCTCCACGTAGTGCTCCCTGGAAAACTTAAACTCATAAGGCATAAAAGTCTATTAACCGGAAGTTGGCTTCTGTCTTTAAACTACCATCACTCCACTATATGTCATATTCTACCACTTCCACAGTACTCACCTCACTTCTTTTACCTTTGTGTCTCTCTTTTACACCTGCCCCCCCCCTCTCGACTTTTTCCCATTGATGTTTCTTCCCCTCTGTGAAGCCTGAAGTCAACTAAAGTGCCAATGACAACCATCAAAATGGCTGTTATTTAATATAAATAAATCTTCGCTTTGATAATATTTTGAAAGTGTAAAGTTGATACGTTCACGAAAAACTCGTTTCATTCCGTCGAAATCTTCACTATCCAGTTTTGACAAATCTTGTAAAATCATAACTGAAAATGATATTTCAAGAGTATATTAATCTTTCTTAGCTGATTTGAAAGAATGCATTGAATAACTGACACAGTAGGTGACAAAGGCTATCGTGCGTTGTTAACTATAAGAATTCAAATGTGAATATGAAGAATGAAAACAATATTAGGAGTTTTATTTTATGGAGTGGTGAATGCTTGAATGGTCACCCAATTCGAAATCTCATTGTAAAACATAGTCTTATAGCCACCCTCAAACAATAGTGAAAATTAGACCTCTAAAGTAGACAACACAATTGAACCTAGGAGGTAGCATGCCAGATGGGAATCGTGATACACTAACACTTGTGTTTACGGATTGAACAGTAAGTATAGATATACAAGATTCTGCTAGAACCCTATCCTCGTATAAGGTATCCCGTAATGGAAATGCAACTCTCCGCGGTTGATGCAGGTTAAAATGCAAGCGAATGAGTTTAACGGGAGATGAGGACCGCTTCTCATGAATATTAATGATATAGAAAATAATTTAAAAATTACTTCCGAGAAGCAAATAGTTCGCCCATTATATTAAATTATACTCCTGACCAATGAAAAAGATTTTAGTACGTAACTATGATTTATTGACCTTCTAAAACATATTTCATAGGTAAAACGAGCTCAATTGTTGAGAGTTATCAGTTAATCAGATTAATTAGTATTAGCTTTAGTCATCGTCTTGTATTAAAATCTACACCTTGTTTAGGGAAATCTGGAAAAATGTTACCCAATCCCTCCCAGTTCTCTCTTCCGAGACAAATGCAGATGATGGAAAACTAATACGAAGCATAAGATAATATGGAATTATCAATGCATTGAAATTGATTTGACATAAACGTTAAACTAACTAAAGTCGGTCTAGCTAGTAAGTAGAGTACAGTTCAACGAAAACTAGCACTAGGTGTAGTTCCTTTCGGAAAATCAAAACTCGTTGAAAAGTTAATAAAAACTAATCACTAAAAATATGTTGTAGTTAACGCTGTTAATATCAATGTGCATTGAAGTGTATTACTGTGTGATCGCATCTTTGTCCCAATCGCTGTTATTCAACACATTTTATGAATTTATGTTCTCTTCAATGCCTTTAATAAATATATGCACAAGACGTTCTTCATCTCTTAAAACCTTTGCAATAAAATACTCAGGCTCTTTTCTATGCAAAATATTGCAATAGGATCTTGGAGACGTATCTGTCATTGAAAATCGAAAAGTAATAGGGCTCACCGTCGAACTATGTTGATTATTTATTTATACCAAATCTCAGGCTTCTTGTTATTTATCATTAGCCCTTTGATGATTTCGGGCTTCACAGAGGGAAGGAACATATGCATATATAGGCTTTAGGATAGTTAATATGAGCTCATTAGTTGACTTCTGGCTTCACAAAGGGTTTGGCATAGTTAAAAGCATTAAAGTACTTCAGGATTTCGTCGGTGACTGCAAAACTGGACAAGGTTTCAGCTGGGTCTTTTTCATTTCCTCTTATTGGTCACATAGGGGCATGTTGGTTGAGCGAATTCTCCAGTTCTGTGAAGCTGCTTTGCAGACAACCGTGCCCGAAAAACAATCTAAACTCTACAACATCTTCGATTCTTGACCAGTCGGCTACGCTGGAGAGTGTCGCTATTCACTGCTTCTCTATTATTCCGCTTTTAAGTCCTTTGCTTCTGAAGTCATGAATTCCCTCCAAATTAAGGTCTTCGTTATGTAGATAGATATTGGCCGGTCAATAACTTACAAAATCGTGGCCCACTTATTAACGAGTGTGCCAGTGCGCTCATTGCTTAAAATGTCAGTGTCCGAGAAACCATTGAAGAAATATTGTCTTGTTCTTTTCTCTGAGTACAGTTTCAGCCTTTCGCACTTGAATATTTCAGCTGCGTTGAGCGGTTCTCTGTTTCCAATTGATTACTTTGTTGACTGCGAGTCTGAAAGGGCTACTGCGTTGATGAATTTAGTATTCTGGCAGCACATTTGGCCAAATGCTATCTCGATTTTCTCTACTTCAAATGCAGATTTATTTTGTTTTGATTCTGTGATGATAGAGAACAGTCCAGAGTAAGCATCTGCACCAACGTTTGCTTGGTTTCCTACGTATGACCAGCCGATCAAGACCTGCAGCCATTTATTGTTCGCCTCATTTACCAAGAATCGTATTTAGCTTATGGGATGTCTGCTTTCATGGGATGGTCAGGAAGTTGGAAGCGAAATTTTACTTGGGTGCATGTTAATGGGTTTTGGCATAAAGAGAGGCTTTTCAGTTTGTTAGCAGTTTGTAGCGCTTTCTTCAGTTCTATTGCTTTCTGTTGTAGTCCACTTTGCCTTTTTTTGGTATTTTGGTATATTTTCGTAAGTACTTCAGAATGTGTCACTGGGAATGCGAAATAGTTTCTCATATAGGCTCAAGGAATTTCTTTTGATAAGGGAACGTATTGTGGTGTACCCCGTATCAAGGGGCAATGTATCAATGGGTTTCAATTTTATCCCTCCAATAATTAGTTGCAATGCCAGGTTACGCGTCTTCTCAAGTGGTTTGTGAATCACCTCAGAGACTGTAATTAGTGGTTCGCACCAGTACAGGATAATTAGTTGAGCATGCATCTTGTAAGTGGTGTTTAGGGTTGAGCGTGCACAGACCCATATGCTACCAGCAAGACGCTTCAGTACGTTCAGTCTATTGGAAGTTCGTTCTGCTATTTCGGCAGTGTGGTTTTTGCATGTTAGTTTTGTGTCAAGCGTCAATCGAGGTGCTGATAACCATTCCGTTGTTGCTTCACCAGTTTGCTATTAGATTAAATATACAATATAAGGCATCAACCGTCCTCTTCTGAACGTTTTTCTTGGTGGCTAAATAGCATAGAGCAATATTATCCATATAGTACACTTGATGTTCGCGATTGTCAGTGTCAGTTCAGCTATGTCCTTGATAAAGGTGTTGAAATGAGAACGGCTTGTGGCAGCTTCCTGTGGTAGAACTGTTTGGAAATAGTTTTTATTCGAACAGATCGATTATATGTCATGTTTTGTTTCATACCAATTTTCGTCAATTTTAGAATTAAGTTTTCTTTCCATACTAGGTCACAAGCGTATTTGACATTTACGAATACAGCTGTAAGAGCGTTTCGTACATCAAGGAAATGATTGATATGTTGGTTTGTCCACCCTTGTGGCAAAACCGCTGCTTTTGCGCTTCTAAGGATGACGATAGTTTCAAGGACCAAAGTCAGCCTTCTGTCAGCCTCCCTTTACAAAGTTAAACCAACGTGATTGTGAAGGTGATAGGCCTCTAGTTTGAAAATTTGCTGGGGTCTTTTCCTATCTTAGTGTTGGTATTATATACCAGATTTCCGCTAGCCAAGCACTCGCGTAGAATAGAGTGTTTTAAATTTGATCGAGCAGTTATAGCTTTGTTTGAAGGACAACTTTTGGCCACTTCACTGAAGATACCACTTGTCTCTGAACATTTTAATTAATTAAAAACATCAATAAACAATCATCCGTTGACAAACACCATCATATCACAAAGATCACCATTCTTTCACAATTTTACTTAGAGATGTGTTTATATTAATGAGATGATTTTGAAAATAATTCTTCTGAGAAGTAAACAGCAGTTCCATTCTATTAAATCACACTCTCAGTAAATGAAAAAGCCTTTTATATGACACTCTATTTTATTAACAATCTTAAACATAATCCATAGAGAAAATGAAATTAACTTTTCAAAGTTATTAGCCATTCAAATCAAATGACATCGGATTTAGTCATCGCTTTCACCTTTGCTTTCATCTTTGCTTTCACCTTTGCTTTCGCCTTTGCATCCACATCTATATCTTCTGTAAGGTGGTGGAGGTCGTCTAAATCTTCTCCATTCTCTCCACCTGTTATCGTTTTCGTCATCATCACTTTCACCATCATCATCGTCATAAGCACGGTGATAGTAGAATGGCCATGGTCTGTAGCGACGGTCTCTATAGTGTCGACGTCGATAGTCATATCTATCATCTACTTCACTCTTATCGAGGTCATCAGTGTCGGAATCAGCTTTGTCCGTATAACTTCGGCTTCTCTTTCCTTCTCTCCATGGCCTCGTTCTCCTATTCTTGCTAGACTTGGGGCCATCCGAATCTTCATCATCTTTTCTCATCCGCCTACTTGGCTTCTTCCTATCATCGTCTGCAACCACCGATTCGCTCGGATCATCTTTCAACTGTTTGGCACCTCCTTTTCCTTCAATTTCTTCAATCAATGCAGACTCATCTTCCTCATCATCATCAACAACTCTGCCACTCAATGTTGCACCAGACACATTGAGTGCTAGTAGAGCTACCAACAGTGCCACTATGCAGAATCGTGCAAACTTCATTGTGTGAATTTGTGACGACGATATCAGTAGCAAACATTGTTGGAGATTCTTATATAGCCAGCTGTGACCTTGAAAAGTGACCAATGTGTCCGGAATGTGAAAACTATGTTCTTTACGGTGTGTTTTACTTTAGGCAAAGCAACGTATCGACTTACCTCATGAAGATTTATATTCAGTGAATTTTCATCGTGAAAGCTAATGAAATAATGCTAACATTTGAAAAGTATACCGTGTGATGGAACAAAATTTTTATTTGACAAGTCTAGATCATTACTTATCTAACACCTGTAGAAGGTTATTATGAAAATCCTTTCTATTATTGTTAAAACTACAAATGAAGCTTTGATACAAGGAGGCACAACTTTAGATTCTACAGTAATCTTAATGGAAGGCAGGTGAATTATGATTTTCTCACAAGTTTCACACATCTGTGGTGCTTGAATTGAACACCTACCTCTGTGGCTTTCACGTCTTATGAAGGCTTTAGTAGTTCATAAATACTTTAGTGCAATTCTTAACTCATTTAAATTTCATTGATGGAGATTGGATTCTCTTTAGCCACCGTAGTTACTTATTTCCCGACAAATTCCTAAGTGGTTTGAAACCAAAAGAACAGCATCATATGTAATTGCGAGAGTTGAAGTTGGTGGATTTCGGCACGCCCACTGTCACGTGAAAATCAAAATTCATTTTTAAGGTAGTTTATTCTATATTTTTGAAGATTTTGAAGTATATGTGAATAGCGTGGCAGCGATCTCTATCAAATATTTACTTTTGATTTTCCTTTATTGCATTCGTCAACCCTATCATCTTTGACATCTAGGTCTCCGTGTTTATTAGATGAATCGCATTAGAAACATTTATAATGTCACTGATATTAAATTACTGTGTACGAAAGTTGGGACTATTGATTTCTGTAAAATAATTGAAATGGAGCAGTTGGGTGCTATTGGCAGGAGATAGAAAAGCGAAGCGTCGTTCGGTATTTTGTTTTGGACTTCTGAATACTCTGTCTAAAAAGTTTTCCACTGTTAAATTATTAACTATAATCAATCCCGGGTGATTATTGGCGAGTAGTTTAATTACGAGTGCCAATTTTTCTACTTCAATCTATTGCTACCGTCAAAAGCTGAAAGTGTTGCATGTCTATGGACAATAGTGGAGCTCACAGAGCTGTGTCCGGTTAACGTCAAGTTCAATTTTTTACCGGCATTTCTGTATGCGAGAAAGACTCCCTTTAGGGTCATTTAAAGAATTTCAAATATTGCTACAGTAGTATGATTTTAAACAAGGGCTGTCTCTGTGAAATCCTGGCCAACAAAAATATTAGTATTTGGAAGTAAGATATTTGACGACACCTTTCACAATTTTACTTAGAAATGTGTTTATATTAATGAGATGATTTTGAAAATAATTCTTCTGACGACACCTGAAATGCTATAAGAAATATTAACTACCAACCTTCAAATTTATTTTTCACGTCTTGGTGAATAATTATGAGCTTCAGGTGATTCGAAATCTTTGCGATTCTTAAGCTTTATAACTTACGATTTGCACTCCAGCTTGAAAGATTTATTATGACTACAATGAATATCAAAATTTGCAGCATATTTTAAATGTAACGAAGATTATTAGCAATTATATATAAAAATGTTTAACCCTTTCTATCGTCAATACGAAAATGATAATTCCCTGTCTCACTTGAGCTGTGATTAAAATACCGCGTCCACTTGAATAAATATTAGATTAATTTAAATAAAAGAGGTACCTAGTGAAATATTACTGCGGCTTTTGTTTCAAGCATCTTCAATGCAAAACTAATTCTGTTCAAATCAGTAAAATATTTGTTTTGCAAACAGGTTTATTGCGCAAAAATAATAATGGAACCCCTTCAACAATTTTAAAAACGTGCAATTCGCGTCATAAATAGTTTGACTTCATTTGAATTTCAAAAATAAGTAGTGAAGCTAGCATTTCAGCTTTGCAAGGTTCCAATGCACCAAAAGCTGTTTGTCTACGAATCTAATTACTTTTTGAGTTTGGTTTTCTCGAGTCAATCCATATAACTACGGCCCAGAATGAGTATCAGTTTGGTCAAACGCAGTTCTAAGTACTTTACATAGTGAAACTTGGGCTGAGATAATTTGAAATTCAGAACATTATGTCCGAAATTCATATAGTTTTCCGAGTAAATTTCATGATTTCAATTCGTAAGAATTCGCATTAACGCAAAAAGCAATCATTCTGAAATTTTAATTAATTCAACAAACAAGACGAAAATTCATAGTTAGTAGTTTTGCATTTGATAAATTAAAATCGCCAAGTTTAAAATTTACAGAATTTAATTTTGAGATGTTTCACTATTATTCTAGAATAGCATATTTTTCAAATTTCAACAAACTGTCATGTTAAGAGGGTATTCGAAATTTGTTTTAAATATTTATATAGTTTAACTATTCAAGAATATGTCTACGAGAGGAATTTCCAAAATTCAAATTAGTTTCGGGGATATATGTATTTTGCTGAGCAGGCATCCAAATCGGTTGGGCTGCAACCAATCGAACAACAGTTAAAATGGGCTTTCCGACTACCTGAGTCTATATTTCTTAGTAAGCCCTTTTGTTCCGCTATATCTATCTATCTATATGTATATTAATATATATACTTCACGGCCATTGATTTAGGGAACAGAAAAACACCAGTTTTACGAGTGCATCAGCAGCAAAATTAAGGAAATCAAATGATAAAGAAGTAATTATAGATAATAATTACGGCTACTGTGTTTTGGAGTTTTTCACGGTCTTTTCAGCAATCTCTTCGTTTATTTCGTGTGCTACATACAACGAAGAGATTAGATTTTCAAGAACGGCTCAACGCGGACTCGGGTTCAAAATTGCATTACAATACATGTCCATTCGTTGACAAATCCTTCGAAGTTTATCATCAGAAGAGTTATTGATTCGATGTTTGGGTTAAGAAACTCAAAATAATAATGAGTCTCTAAACTCGTTGATATGGACTTTCGCTCCAAAGCATATACATTCCGGGTCTGCAAAGCATATACATTCCGGGTCTCAGATCATTGAAATTGCGACATTTGTTGCTGTGTGTATTTTTAATGGAGGATTTATACCGATATTAAAGATTATGGGAGTGGAAGTTGGTCCAGAAGGGCATGTATTTGCTATCAGACAAGACAACGCTCGGATTGACCGCTCTGAGATACGAGCATCCAGCGCATCAAAGGAGGCCAGATCTGCTCAAATAGAAAACAGAGACGCCGAAAATAGTTTTTTGAAGTCGAGGAAGGTCCGATGTATGCAGCAGGAATGGCAGATTGAATAAATGTAAGTTAAAAATGCAATTTTATGACTTAGACTGCAAAATATTTTACTTGAAACTTTAAATGCGTTTTTCTCAAAGCTGTTTTTTGAATCTGATACCCACGATTTCTCAAATTCTGCCAAACCGATTTACTTGAAATTTTAAGAGAGTCTTCTTTAAGGAATTGGCTATGTCCGGAACTATGCCCATTTCCAAATTTTAATTTTACTATTTTTAAAAATCGAAGAATGTTCAAAAATGTGGTACAAAATGGTTTTTTTCTTTAGACAGTCCCCATTTTGTAAAAAATATATCCAAAACTTTTCCGTAGTTCCGGACATAGCGACATCATTGTAAATTGATAATCATTTTTATTTTTGATTTCAGATTGCTTGTAGAGTTAAAATCGTGGGTATGCTCTTGCACCATATTTTTGGGACGCCCCACTCCATCAACTGATAACTAACGGAATTTTGAATTTTTTATTTGTTATTTTTTTGTACGCTTCCAATGTGATTAAATAATATATAAAAAAAATTATAATAAAAATATTGCTAGCTTTTTTGCAGCACTTCAAAAATGACCTAAAATTCATGCCTCTAGACCAGAATGCCCCCATAAGCAGATTTAACTACTAATTTCGATTATTTATCCTTGAAATAAAGGGAAAAATATATTTATGGTTGGACATTCTTAACCCTTGATTAAGATAGTTATCTCTTTCTTTCCCCAGTTACCTCTTTACATTTGTGGAGGACACAGGGCTACCTTGGTTGCTCGCTAGAACGCCATGCATTGCTGAAAAACACCCATCGAATACTTCTTATCAATCTTAGAAAGATGCTATGCTCACCTTCACTCCTACATTCCAAGCTATACCTTCAAATACTCTTAATCCTACTCTCACAAAATCTTACATATCTCGACCCTAAGTCTTTCATAGTCACAATTGACCAAAAAGTCACTTATCTCTGCCGACTTGGCGATAATATGCAAAAACTAATTATGGGGGGAGGGGTGGTTGTCTTTTCTCTACCTGTCATTATCCTAAAATTGTTACAGAGGAGAGTAACATGGAGCTCACGTGACCATTTTGGCTCACCAAAGAAATTTCACGCGGCCGTAACATCCTGGAACAAGTGGCCTATGTGGTGCTCACGCTAGGGAAAGTTTGCATTCGTGATTACAGAGACCTCTCGATCAGTCAATCATCATGGCACGTGCGAGGCAGTCAAAATTGTATATATAGATTAATGCCATGTCACTAACACGCAGCCCAAATGTACATGTTTTATGTCATGTTTCTACTTTGTCCATATAGATCATTTCGGGAGCCTTTTCCGCCAACGTATCTTGCCATAGGGATTATTGAGGATAATACAAGGTATATTCGTGTAGCAATCCGCTACCCATTCATTGCTCAAAACATTAAAGAAATCCCCATTTCAGATATGCTTACATACTTCAGTGATCAAATAATTTGGGATATTCAGCTACTAATCTTAGATGTTATATGTGCTTATGGTTAAAAATATCGAAATTACGGAGAAACTACAATATTTTGCAATGTGAAGATGCTGTGACATTCACCAAATCAGTGGGTTAGCAAATAACAGGAACTAAATGAGTGAACGCTTTCTAAGGTACAATTAAGAGTACATATTTAGTGATTTGACTTCAAAATTAGGGAATCTAAGCTTTCATTTCAGAAGTTATAGGGCTTACGAATAAGCGTCAATTTGTTTTCAACACTGTTGACAATTCGGCATGCATCTGACTTTTTCTACATCAAATACATTATGCCCCATTTCACCGAAACGCTTCACTTTACCATCGACAACCATGATTATTATCACGATTAATGACTTTTACCGAAATATGCTTTAGAAAACTTTTGCACCCTACAGAAACTCGTAATGGGCAAGCAACATTAAACTGTATTTGGAACTAGTAAGACAGGCATTAAAGCTATCCACTGTCAGCGTAAATTAGCAAAATTGTGGAGTTTTAATTTCTTACAATTCGGCCACTCGATGCACAAAAGTATTCCTTTGAGGTCTATTATTTATCAATCCTAGAATTATAATTAGCAAGGATTTGTTTGACAGTGGCTATCTTATTAGTTTGATGCAGCAAAGGCAAGGTCATTCGACCAACTTTATAACCCACCCGCATTTCAAGCATTGCATATCACGCAGAATCAGGGGCATCCATAGCTATTAAACATGATTTGTCAACTAAACACACTGGGTAATTTTTAGGTGCCTATTTGAACCGCAAGGTCGGCACCGAGAAAAGTAAACAGTTTTTTCTTAAAGGTCGCATCAAACAGCTATTGATCATGCGTATTAGATTTGATAACAATTTTCAAGTGCAGTTGTGAAGTCTACGCCTAAAATGCAAATGTATTTTCCACCTAAAAAATGACAAATGGTTCAGGATTTTTATCAAGCCAGTAAATATTTCTTGTATACAAAATGAAGTTATGTCAAAAATGTATAATGAATAATAGTTTTCTAGCACATTTCAAAGCAAAACCTAACTTCTATCGAAGAAAATAGTTCAGATAAAGCAACAATATGAGACATTCAATTATCATTATAATATGTAATGTTTTGAAAATTTTTAGGCTTACTTTATTTGCTTGATAAGTACTTTGATACCACAAATTGTGCTATTCAAATTTGATGACATATTTGGAAGCACATCTGTTTACACTATTATTAAAATAATAAAAAATAAATTATTCAAAATCAGTTGAAATTATATCATACCTCCGGAACATCATCCATTCTTAGGAAGATAACTCATTAAATATAAATCTTCATGAGGTAAGTCGATACGTTGCTTTGCCTAAAGTAAAACACACCGTAAAGAACATAGTTTTTACGTTCTGGACACATTGGGCACTTGTCAAGGTCATATCTGGCTATATAAGAATCTCCAACAATGTTTGCTACTTATATCATTGTCACAAATTCACACAATGAAGTTTGCACGATTCTGCATAGTGGCACTGTTGGTAGCTCTACTAGCACTCAATGTGTCTGGTGCAACATTGAGTGGCAGAGTTGTTGATGATGATGAGGAAGATGAGTCTGCATTGATTGAAGAAATTGAAGGAAAAGGAGGTGCCAAACAGTTGAAAGATGATCCGAGCGAATCGGTGGTTGCAGACGATGATAGGAAGAAGCCAAGTAGGCGGATGAGAAAAGATGATGAAGATTCGGATGCCCCCAAGTCTAGCAAGAATAGGAGAACGAGGCCATGGAGAGAAGGAAAGAGAAGCCGAAGTTATACAGACAAAGCTGATTTCGACACTGATGACCTCGATAAGAGTGAAGTAGATGATAGATATGACTATCGACGTCGACACTATAGAGACCGTCGCTACAGACCAAGGCCATTCTACTATCCCCGTGCTTATGACGATGATGATGGTGAAAGTGATGATGACAAAAACTATTACAGATGGAAAGAATGTAAAAGATTTAGTCGACCTCAACCTCCTCTCAGAGGATGTAGATGTAATAGCAAAGGTGAAAGCAAAGATGAAAGCAAAGGTGAAAGCGATGACTAAATCCGATGTCATTTGATTTGAACGGCTAATAACTTTGGAAAGTTCATTTTGTTTTCTTTATGGAATATTTTTTAGATTGTTAATAAAATAGAGTGTCATATAAAAGGCTTTTTCATTTACTGAGAGTGTGATTTAATAGAATGGAACTGCTGTTTACTTCTCAGAAGAATTATTTTCAAAATCATCTCATTAATATAAATATATAAATATATTTTGTCACATTCCTAATTAAAGTCTTCGGAGTCAAGTTGTATCTTTAGTGAAGTGGCTAAATGTTGTCCTTTAAACTAACCTATTAATACTCCATCAAATTTAAAACTCTCTATTCTAAAGAAATGGATGGTCAAAATTATTAGTTTTGAGTTTTCCATGACCGCATTTTATTGGAAAAAAAATTATAAAGAAAATAAACCATATTCTAAATATTTTTTTAATGCATTAGGACAGTAATTCACCTCAATACATATTGATATTACCAACCTCAAAACAATAGAAATGATTTATACTAAATATTTTTGGTGACTCGCTTCTTTTAACTTTTCTTAAGAAAATTGCCTATGCGTTCAATCTAAACAAGTCAAACAGCCGTTGCCAAATGAGAAGATTAATTAAAAATTTGAGTATCTTATTATTTACATATTTTTTCTACAGCCAAATGATACTAAAGTTTGCTTTCTTAGACTTTTTAAAAAGTACTTTTAGTTGAAGTGCATAATATTTCCATCATATTTAGTGCTAATCGCGATAAAGATTTGTTTCATTTAAATTTTGATTAAGTAGTATTGCGCAGATAAATATGGAAATTTTTAGAATATTTTTCAGCTATTAGCCTTTTATCTACCGTTTGCTCAAACGACATGATTTGCTAGCGTTATAGACCAATGAAAGAGCGCCAATTAGGAACACTTAGAACGCTCTAATTGGTTGCTGTATTCCCCATATCTCTGTTACATATTCTGCCTGCAAATATTTCCCATCTATCCTACGCAGATATCCCAAATCTTATTTAACACAAGGTAACAAAAGTTTTAAAATTTTGCCTTATTAAATTTTTATTCGATATTTTGGCTATGTCGTTTAACGAATTTTGCTCATTTAGCGTAATGAATATTCCAATTCTACCAATATTCGAAGACCAAACAACGCCTAATTGCCTAAATTGTCTTTGATTTCATAAATAATGGAACATTTTAAGCCACGATGATTCAATAGCCTGGAAATAAAGAGTGGGTCATGTGCTATAGTCATTAATTAAAATATTTACAAATTATTTTTCTTAAAGAAAATAAATTAATATCACATTTTTAAATGGAATATGCTTCTAACCATTAAATTTGATACTATTGCACAGTTGTTTAGAGTTTGAAGACATTTAATGGGACAAATCTTACCGAGAAACTGTCGTGCTAAAACAATGGCAATATTTTGGGAAGCTAAATAGCTTAAGGATAACTCAAATATAAGACAATAGAGTTTTGCTCAACTGATCAATATTTCTCTCACTCAAATACTTTTCATTCAGAAATTAAAAGGATATAATTTTACTCAAAATATTTCAAGATAGTTACAATTTTTTCTCGTTTCGGTCTGTCATTTAAAACCTCCAACAAATATTGGACCTTTTATCCTAATTCACACTTACAAATTTTGAGCTTTATTTAGACGAATCAGTAATTCCTTATTCTGTAAGTTTGGACCATAATAAATTATAAATGAATTAATTTGGATACTTTTCAGATTTTTCTGATCTTCCACTAATTTAACACATATGCTGGTTAGCAAACCAATAATATCTTCTTTAAACGATACGTTCAGCTCGTGTCCGAAATGCTAAAAATCCTATTTACTTTTCGTTCAAATGCTTTGAGGAGGTAATTTAAGCAAAAAGTATTTCGACAGTATTCAGTTTGTTCCCTCTAAGAAAAATTAAATGATAATCAATAATATTAAGATATAAATACTGTTTATTATATACATTTTTTCAAAATGATGATAACATGCATTTAATATAAAGTTTTTTTAAGTATTACTATTTATTGCTCACTTAACCTGCCACTAATCACAGAACATTTTATTGATTTTTGGGTAAAAATATGTTCAATTAAAACTTATTTTATAAAATTCCTAAACGTTATTTGTTCAATTAACCTGTTCTTAGTATTTTGAATTTACCTAATTTAATGAAAACTTTTTAATTATTCAATAATGTTTCCATTTAGATTTTTGAATAATGAGCGTCAATCAATTTCCTTTGCTTCACATTGAACTTCTTGAACCCATTCAGCCAGTTCCTCTTCCAGGTGAACTTGAAACATTTCCACGAATAACACTCAACACTGACAGCATTGTTCATGTGGAAAAACGTTCCCGAAATGTTCGGCGTAACGCAGCTAGAAGTGGAGCCCGATTGTCTCGCTTTCGAACCCAACCTATCACATTTACAGAAATTGCAGAGGTCAAAGAAACCAAGAGAGAAAGTGATGAAGGCAAAAAGTCAGATGAGAGGACCCATAGTTTAATGGTGCCAGCTTCAACGATTAAAACTGAAACTATGGAAACCCCAAACGCAAACTGAGTACATATTTTTATCTGGGAATAGTTGTATATTTCTAGACTTTAAAAGTTGTGTTTTGTAACATATATATTTATTTATATTCTGTTTAACTACTTTTTTGTTCAAATGGGATAAGATTTAGATAGAAATTACATAAAATTAAATGTAAATAGTTGTTAAAATAACTACCGAACAAATCAATGCAATGACAAAGACTTGAAATATTTTTGTCTCTTAAGAGTATTGACCCATTTGCATTCACGCAACTTGATATTCAGGAGATAAAAAGAATTTTTCAAACGCTTAGTTACAACATGACTACAGCTCTTGCAAATAAACATTCTGTACTCAAGTTCCACTAAAATCTGTAATTCTACGAAATTTTACAATACTTGATTACTTGTTCATCTGTAATCCTTTAAGCACCAAAGTAGACAGAAAAATTATTAATTTAAAACAATTGACTTTCTTTACTTAATTTATCACATAAGGGAAAAATTTTGATCAAAATTCTCTTATAGATAATCTAATTGTTAATTAACTCAATTGGAACTTGAGCGGTCTTTAATATCAGCCTTTATAGCAAAAGATAGGTGATTATCCAACTGATTGCGTAGTCCTAGAAAAATTGTTCCATATTAGATTGCACATTTGATAAAATGATAAAAATCTTCCCTCATTATCGGCGAAAGGTGTTGTAAGAAATATGCAGATCTGAGGCTCAAAAGTGCATGCGGGAATTGGAAGAGCAAGTCCTAACTTCACTAGATGGAATTTTTGCTATTGAATCCGGCTGATGATAGAATGTGTCTGCATTTGCTCCATCCAATTGAAAGGGGCATATCAATCAGAATCATAAAATAAAGCGAACCGCAATGCCACTTTATATGGATAATAAACACAACTTAGTCACGCATGAATATTTAGGACCATAGTTCATTGAATATTATTTAGAAACGATTAGCAATCTAGTGTAACACGAGTCTAATCTTTGTAATACTTCTTCCGGTTATATTTCTAATACAACCATAGTTAGAAAATTGGAAGCACAGTCAGTTGTTACGTTGCTATGTGTTACGTCATAATTTCATCATGTTCTGCTTCATTCGATTTCTATTTCACCATTTACGATATTTTCCAATGGGTTATTCATTTTACGGAGAGTCAGAATTTCTTATTCTTAACCAAATATAATGAATAGTGCGTTTCCCAGATAACCTCTGCTTACTTAATAAGAGTTACTTTTGTTATAGTCTTGTAATTAAAAGTCAATTTTTGCCAAAGAATAAAGAAATTATTTAATTTTGTGTGATATTACTAAGATCATTGCATTTACCATTTACTGATATTAAGAATTTTTCTTGAAGGCAATTAAAAATTCAAAATTATGCTCTATTTTAGATGAGAATATGCACTAATCTATTATTAACTCAGCCTATATTATTTTTATTAATGTTTCACTGATTCCAGTGGCTAATAAAAGGAGGCACATGAATTTCAAAATCAGTAGAAGGCATACAATTTACGATTGACTGTAAGTGTTTGATGATTAATCAAATCAAACCGTTTGTTTGAGCATTAGAAACATTAAAAAATAAATAGTACCATTGATGGGAGTAATGAATTTAACAGATACTTTTGCTTACTGTAAAAATTTAAAAAAGAAATTGTTTTCATTCTATTATAAATTCTAAATTTCTCTGATTATACAAAAAATAGTTAATATCAATAAAGATATTTGTATCAATATGTTATTGGTATTTATTCGTGGCCATTGTGCAAAAACTGAAAAACGAAAAAGGAAATGATTGTATATAAGACCTTTCACTTAAATGAATATTATTAAAATTATTACTTAAAATGCTATAAAATGGATTATAAATGTCAGATTTTTAGTTTGAGCAAATAGAAATTTTTATAAAACATTGTACTATATTTTAGTCCTCTGTACATTATTTTAAATTAAATATGCATTACCTATCTCAATAAGATCTGTGCATTCTAAATTGCAAATTCAAAAGCTACTCGTAAAATCACATTTTGAAAAAGAGGTACATCTGCATAAACAATCTTTGGTTTTCGATCAACATTAGTGCTTGATTATATTAAATACACTAGCGCCCAAATGATTTAAACAAAAGTTCTCAATACCATGCAAATGGAATATGACGAATTAATTTTTATAAAAATATATTTACTGAGGAAAGATGATTGTAATGCGTAGATTTTTTCTTTTAAATTATAGCCTTCAAATCTTCACTTAAAACGCACAACTAGAAGACTTAAATATTTTATTTTCTATATATATCAATGAATTTTACCATCTAAATGTTGATTCTCTAATTACATGTATTCCATCTATCCTTTGTATTTTATTCAATTAAAAGTTTGTAAATAGATTTACAATAATCGATACGTTACAAAGATCCGAAATACAGAAATTTTCTTTCTTGAAAATCATCTTAATAAAAATCACAGTATATTGTCACAAATAAAAATTTTGGTGGAAGGTTTAATAAGCAAATGTAAAAGATGCACCCCTGGAGAAATAAATTAGTTATTTTATGGTTTATTTTCATTTTATTGAACAACGCACGTTTATAAGCATTGCCTTAACTAAGCTTATATGATTTATATAAGCAATAAGAAACTTTGGAAAGCTAAACCAGAGCTGGCAATCGCTCAAAAATATTAAAACTGACCATAAATACTTACAAAATATAATTGAGCCTTAATTATTGTGTTTTAAGTTACCTTATAGTTGTTTAAAAAACGCTAAGCTAATTTAGTCAGATATCGTTACAAAGTATATTTTACTTCTCCCATTCTATCAGCTTTTTTCCAATTTCTTTAAAACCGTTTTGTATTAGTTTTAATGGCATTCCTAAGATATTTGATATATTTGTAAAAGAACTTTCTAAGGACTATCAACTTTAAACATGGAATTTCACCAATCTTGGCAGATTTGATTTATCTGAAGCCGTCAAAGACGCCACCCCAAATAAAGTTGCACGCAAAGGAAATATTGAAAAGTCCATATGTAATACGGCTTTATCACGTTCAGCACTAAGGCTAAGCAAGCTATATATAAACCAGCCAATTAAAGAATTTAAGAAGGAAATGTATTAAGATGACCCCAAGCAAGTCAAGGCGTCAAATGCCAATGCCAATATATTTCTAAAAAAATTTTTAATAATTGCATGGTAAGGATAGTGTCATAAGAAGAGAATACAGTTGAAAGAAAAATACATTTATCTTTGAGTAGAAAATGTCGAAAGCTGGAAGCACATCAAAGATTTTTTATGCTAATTAAATGCAATCTCCAAAATGTCCTGAAGGAATTATGATCTATAATTAAAGATCATTGCTTGGATTCAGCTTACGTGCAATAAATGTTTTGTAATTAATTCGCTAAGCTATTTTGCTGAAAAGAATTTATTGTATCCTTTAATTACGAAATCATTCATATACTGATTCCGAACTTTCACAAAAAATCGAACTCGTTATATGTAAGGGAAATTCTACCTTCTTAAATGTAAACTTAAACTTCAAGATAGTCTTGTGTCGATTACTTTAATTTTTAGAAATTTTGGACCATTGTTTTATTATTATTACACCATTATAATTATTATAGTTATTCTTCCACTTTTGGTTATTTTGTGTTTTCATGTGGAACTGTAAACTATATTTTAACGCAATTTATGAAAAAGACAACCAATTGGCAAAGAAATTCACTGGTTTGGGCGAATATCTGGGCATTGATGACGTTTTACCAACCATTGTTATCTCACCATTTTTAGAATGAAAATCAGAGATTTGAAACCTGGTTTGCAATAAATTTTCCAGTAAATAACTTTTCACTATTTTATTGCCACTGTAGTCGAATTTGCAGTTTTACTCACCACTGACGGAACAGAACTTATTGTTTGAAACGTAACAGAGGATTGACAAAGGAAGCCGCAAGTTAAGTGAAGGAAAAATTAATATCAATTGTGACCCATCCCTAATATCTGGCACAAAGCTATTCGAAAGATATTTAAATCTGCTGGAGTGTTCAAAAATATCTATTAATTTAAGAACCTCCGATAGAGTCCCAAGTGATCATTTATTATTTCCACCTTCTAGGTCAAAAGTAATTTAAATCTTATTCTTTGCAGCCACCAAAATATATTTTTAACTAATTTCTACTTTAAATATATATTCATGCCATCATTTTTTAAGTGAATAATGTTGATATTGTTTAAAAAGTCAACTATTACTAAAATCGCTCTTAAACTTGGAAATTTCGCTAACCGGAAGCCATTTACTAGAATCGATGGTTCAGATCACGAAATCACTGAATGGTCTATTGGTGAGTCATCGTATCCCACCCACGTATGTGCGTGATCACACTTAAATTTTTTTTCAAGAAGAAGGTTCACCTACCAACTAGATTAACCTTAATCTCCCAACGAGATATCTAATCGTTTAAATATCTACTGAAGGTCATTTATTTATTTGTTAAAATATTATTGTAAATCCTCTAAAAGAAATTCATTCATTTTATTCATTTATTTTAATTACCGAGACATTATAAAGAAGCATTTTTTCTAATTAGAAAATTTCCGGCACCTGTAAACAGCCTATTTAATTCAAGTAGGTAACAAATGTAGTCAAAGTAAAATCACTTTTTTTATATTTCAAGGACACTCTTCCTTCAAGAAACGCCCACCTTGGTATGATTAGCAATTTTCACAAATTCCGCTTTCATTTGCATAAACGTTATTTAAAACGCATAGCGCACTGTGATTTAGGAATATATTCGAGCCAAAAAGAGCAATATAATAGGTTGGTCTTGATATTTACGAAGTATCAATGTTATTATTTTGGTTTTAGGTAAGAATATGAAATAACAAAGCCGAAAGAGAACAATTCAAATGGACATTCATGGCTGCATTTCCTCGATCAGGTCTTGAACGCAAGCGATGTTACTGCCGGATTTATTAATAAAATATGTAATCGAGTGTTTGCCACACACCAAT